TTGGGTGATACAACAGTGATTGAGCGGGGGATTAGTTAACCTTGAGGGGCAGCTGGACTCGCGAGATCATTAAATAAAGCAAGAATCTTTCTTGCTAGTCTTCAAGCTATGTTCTTGTGTCAGAATTAACGTCCTTTTAGGAAGTACTGGCAGTTACGTCATGAGCTACGGGTGTAGTTTAATGCTAGTTGTGTGTGACGGCACGTGTGAGAAGTGACTGCTCGAAAGCAAAAATGACGGCTGCCAAATAGATTTGCTCTTCCCAGCTACCGTACCATGACCTCTGCTGTCTGTCCGCGCATATGTTGTGTGTAATTACCGTGAAATGGTGAGATTTATTGGTATCCAGACCATTTTTTACCTTCTTGCTGCTGAACAGAAAGTTTCTAGCTTGAATACACCAGGTAACCAAACACATTCTTCCTGGCTTGTGTGTTTTGTTGCTTTTTTTTTTGCTCCCCAACCAAAACTAGGCCTAAAAATTCAGTGGTGGTGTTCTGTATCTGACATCTGACCTCTCCCTGTGCGGGAACAACACAATAGATAACTTGCCTACAGGGAGCGATAAAGCATCATGATTTTATCTTTTCTTTGCTGTATTTTATTACCCTGCAGATGACGAGCAGTCGACCCACTGTGGATTAATAAAGTACAGTATGTACTGTACATTGAAGGAGTATCACAGTGGAGGTTGTGCTGTATTGTGGTTTCTGGCAGCTGTGTGCTGTGGTCGTAGAAACGAGGCTGCAGGCAGATGTACAAAGATACAAGCTTTTGGTTTTAATTTAATTTTTGGCCCTCCACTAAGAAAGAAAAATTAGTTCCCTGTTGCGAAGCGATAACATCCAAGCTTACTTCATTCCATTCATAGTTCAAGATGGAGTGATACTGTCCAAGCTGCAGGGTACAAGCTTGTGTGCTTATAAGAACTAATGTAGGTACTTTAATGCACTCCCAATGGGAAGTTAAACACAAATGTTAGAATATAGTAAAGAAATGCAAGACAAAGGAAAAAAGTGTAAGAAAGTTTCGGTAGAAGCGAAGGAGCGTCCAGCAGGTACTGTGAGCACCAGTAGCCAGACAGCAATGCCTGATAACCTCTGAATGTGACCTTTGACCTCTTGCTTTCAGAGGTCAAGAACTGACTTTGGGGTTAAGTGTAAAATCCTTTTTACAGTCAGTTCCTGTTGAAGGAGAGATGGACCACACTTGTTTCTAACTGGTAGATAAGCAGAAAATAAATCAACAGCAATTTTGATCACCAATTAGTCGGAACTTTCTCTGGTTCCAGCTTGTCAAATATGCTTTTCAACAAACAAACAACTAACAAATTAATTAATAAAGAAAATAGTTCCTAGAATATATAGGCAGATGTTTGGTGAAGCTTTATTGATACTATTCAAATGTAGCACTGCAACAAATATTGTTCTGATAATAACAAAGTCATTTTCCAAGCAAAAGTGCCAAACGCGAGGTGATTCCAACTTCTTAAATATGGGAATTTGCTTTTTTTTCTCTGTCTTAAAATCATAGACAGTGGAATATCTTTCAGTTTTGGATAGTCGGCCAGACAAAACAAACACTTTTCTGATATCATTTTGGACTTCTAGATTTAGATTTTGTAAAGTTTTATAGAATTAATCGTTAGATTAATGAATGATGACAATTGTTAGTTGCTGCCTTACTTGAATATCTGTCATGTAGTTTGCATTTAATTACTTATTAAAAACCACTCTAATTTAAGGCCTACAATTTTTATTAATTTTTTAATTTTATCCACATTAACTTTGTGGATGTTCAACAGATTATCTATAGTACTAGACTGAATAGAGTGAACTGAATTGTTGAATCTCCACTAATAAGCTGTTGTATCTATCTGTAGGCAGACTATCCAAATAAAGTGGAACCACATCTAATACAAACAAACCTTACTTCAGTTAAAAATGCTGTGTTTTCCTGGTCAGAAGATTCTCTAAATCCAGCCATACCACTAACATCAGATTATCATTTATTCCTTGCAGTGGCATTGAGCTTAAATGTTTAATCTGGTGGTAAAGGGGTCTGTACTTGCTGGAAATATCTTGTTTTTCTTCTCTGAGACCTTTGTCCTAGAAAACTGTGGCAGGTCACCATGACGCTGATAGGCAGGTGTCAAAAGGATACTTTTTCCTGGCCATAAGAAAACTCTTTTTAGTGGCCTTTCCACCCTACGGCTTGGCACAGACGGAAAGATGGAGAGAGATATGTAAGCAAAGAGAAAGGAAGATATAGATTGAAGAGAGGGAGGAGTTGAGAGATGACAGACGAGTGTCTGAAATCCATTGCTTTTAGTGAAATCTTAACTCGTTGGAAGGACACAGATGACCGCTGTGATAGACAGGTGTCAAGATGCTCCATCCTTATTTTCCTCCGCAAAGAAATGGTGGTCTTGTATTTGTTTCCTTCTGACCTTAAACACAGCCCAGGTAGACAGAGACTTGATTGAGTGGTGTCAGTGTGGTCTTTGTGTGCCGGTGGTGAACTCTGAACTCTGATCTCAAATGTGGATTCGGTGCTGGACTTGAGGAAAGGAGGGAGAGATAACTGATGACGGACAGGCGTCAAAGCAAACTTTTTGTGTTTCAGTGGCGACAGTCAGAAGCACTTTCTCTGTTTTTGGTGACCTCTTGAAGGTCACATGTCTGGTTTGAAGCAGAGACCAGAGAGAGAAATGTTTGCCTTGAAACGATTCAGTTACCATGAAAGCTTTTTATATTTGCTATCAGCTTGGTCTCCCTTCTGCGGCTTTTGCTTTGCAATAAAGAAATGGTCACCACTGCGGCTGGACAACGTAAAGAGTGATCTCTGGAAAGTGCAGTAGATAAATGGACGGATGATAGATGGCTGGAGGAAGGTTTTAGAAAGAACAGGCTGAGGAGATGGACGGGTGCCAAAATGACTGCTTTTTCCTGATAAAAGTCAAATCCACTTTCCCTGCTTTTAGTGGCCTTTGACCCTCTTACCTGTCAGATTTAGAAGCAGACGGACGGCTAAGAGAGCTGTGAGAGGGTGCGGGGATGGGAGGGGTGATAATGGAGCAGTGGAGGGTGGTAGGAAAGGGTGAAACTCTGCAGGTGGAGTTTAAAAATGTTATTTTAATTACAAAATCTATATCTAAATCCATCTTCTGATATATAAATGGTCTTTGGTTCGCAATTTTCTTTGCCTCATAGCGGAAACATTACGTAATCACAACCTGTGGGTGTGCGCACAGAGTGTAAACATGATGAATTCTGGGTGACCCTGACGTTTGGCCATTAGGAATGGGAACACGGCAATTCCCCGACGGTCCCAAACAAATAAATCCTGCCCACAGCCGGAATAACCATTAACAAGTCTGCTAAACACTGCGAGGGAGGAGGGGGAGGAGGGGGAGGAGGAGGAGGGTGAGAAGAGTGGTGCAAGAGGTACTGGTGGAGAGGGAAAGAAAGAAGGGATGAAGGAATAAAGTTGACTTTTAGAGAATGCGGAGAAAGGAGGAGGTAAAAAAAAGGAAGGGGAGGTCAAATATAGAGGGAAAGATGGGAAGGAGGAGTAAAGTTGACGTGCAGAGGGATGAGGAGAATAGAGAGATAAAAAGGAAGAGAAAGAAACAAAGAGCAGGAGGAAGAGGAGCTAAATGAGTGAGGAGAGGATGAAGGAAGGAATAAAGGTGAAATAGAGAAAAGAAAAAAGGGACAGGAGAGAAGGAGAGAGGGAGAAAGGAGGATGTAAAAAGAAAGGAAAGAAGAGGTGGGGAAGAGGGAGGATGGACGGGTGGAAACTGGAGTATAGTTGATGGAGAGAATGTGGAGAGGAGACAAGGAGACCAAGAGGAGAGGGATATAAAAGAAGACTGAGTAAAGTTCAAATAATGGAGAGAAGAAAAAAGAGGAGAATGAGAGGAGTATAGGAAAGAGGTAGGGTGAATGAAAGTGAGGAAAAGATCATTGTGGAGATGGAAAGAAAGACGGAGAAAGGGAGAAATAGTTGATAATGAGAGCAGTATGAGTAGAAGGAAAAGGGGAGAAAGGAGAGCGAGGAAAGAGGAGGAGGTACGAAGAAGGTAAAGAGATGGAAGAGTATGAACAGGAAGATGGGATAAGATAGAAAGAATGAGGAGAGTAGAAAGAAGAAAAGAGTTAATAAAGGAGTTAGAGAGCAGAGACCAGAAAGAAAGGAGGGACTGAAAGAAGGAGAGAACAAGGTAAGGAGGATGGGAGGAAGAGCAGGTAAAAAAGGGGAGGAAAGAAGGAGGGATGGAGAGATGGAAAGTCGGCATGGAGAGGATGATAAAAGGAAGAAAAGAGAGGAAGAAGTTAGAGAGGAAAGATGAAAAGAAGGGACAGAAAGATATAAGAATACAGTAGAGAGAGAGAGGAGAGGAAGACGTATGGGGAGTGCAGAGAAGGAAAGAAAGGAGGGATGGAAAGGAGAGGATAAGAAAGATGGAGGGAGTAGAAGGCAACTGGAGGAAAGGGGAAGGAACGAAAGAAGTGATTGAGTGACTGTTCAGGGAGAGAGAGAGGGCGAAAAGAGAGATGCGAGAACGAAAAAACAAAAGGAGAAAGGGGGAGGAGGGAGGGAGGGAAGGGAGCGAACCCCATTAGCGGAGGAGAAATGAGAGAAAACAAACAAGAAATGTGAGGGTAACACGTCACTTTGTTTTTCTGCTCGTCCCCCCTAGAAGAATAAGAGGAAGCAATAATCACTGTGTGTGTGTGTGTGCGGGAGGAGACAGGAGCGATAGCGCGGGGGAGGTCATGGCGAGGTGAGAGAGGGGGAGTGAGACGGAGAGAGAAGTTCAGCGAGAGGTGAAGAGAGAGACCTGCCGTTTTCTGTGTGTGTGTTTAGGGTGAATCGGGGGTCAGGTGTGTGTGTGTGTGTGTTTGCCAGGAGGACCTGCTGGCTCGCGTGTGGCTCGTTTTTTTTTTTTTTTTGAAGGCCCCGGCGGTGCAGCGGGGGCAGATACCGTGGATTATTATCAGCATGGACAAATGGGGAAAAGAGGACAGATCACTGCGTTGACTTTTGAAGCAACGCGCAGAGTCTTGACGCTATAGCGTTACGCATTTATTTTACTGTGAGCGCTTTTTTACCCCCCCTGTTTGAATTATACTCGCCGCTGCATCTCAACACTATTAAAGTCAAATATCTGTGGATAAGGAACAGAGCAGGGTGTTGTCAGAGAGGGATGAGAGGAGGAGGGGGGCAGTATGAGGTGTGCTTTTTTTGGAAAAGCCGGAGAAAGACAGACACCGAGAAGGTGTACTAATGTGCGAGAGCCTGCGACGCGCTGCCCTCCTGAGAAATAACTGCGATCAGGGAAGAAATGGCCTAGTTAAAACCCCATCGACACACCGGCAGAGGATAGAAAAGAAGAATCGTGTTTAGATGGACGGGCCATCATCATCGTCATCATCATAATTCCGGTGCTCGCGTCGAGTCTTTTAGGTAAGCCATATGTTCCCCACCACCTCCTAAACGTGACTGGAGATTTTCTGTCTATCGTGGGTTTTATGTGTGCACAGTCTGTACGCTTTGGTGACTTCGCACATTGCGCACGTTATTCATCTTGACGCACTGTCACAATCTGGGGGGGATGAGATTTCAATGTAAATCCTCGTGCCACTTTGTTGCTATAGCACATATTTTCTTCCCTTCAGTGGGAGCCTTCGATTGGCCTTGCCTGTTGATAAGCTGTCACATCCTAACGTGATCAGTCCACTTGGTGAATTCAGCATCAGCGTTTTGGCGTTTTGAACCAGGCTGCTAACGAGATGATATTCATGTGATTTAATTGGAATCAAGTAATCATGGAGACTGTCAATCAGACTGGCTCAATTGGGCTCCAGTAGTGTCCTGTTCCCCCGTGGTTGTGAAGGCATAGATTATTTTCATAATGTTTTCTATTGCATTTATTGATGACAGTATTACCCTTAATTAGACACACATGCTGCTACGCTGCAATATAACTAATCTCAACCAGAGTGTGTGATGGGCCTTGAACTCAGAAGATGTCCTCTCTAATGAACAAACCCCACAACAGCTCTGACACACACACACAAACACACACAGTGTGCACAAACGCTCACACAAGACACACGAAGCTTGTGCCCTAGAAGATGCAGATAGGATTGTGAATTAAATGCACACACTCTGATGATCCGAGGAAGGCTCCATTAATATTCAGTGGTGGTTGGGCAGTGCTCAGTTAATGGCAGACAACAGGACCTCTGTTCTGACAGGTCATGGATGAGAAATGGTATGTTTTCATTTTTAAGGGTATAAATGCGTTTTTTTTTTTTTTCCCCACATAAAGTGCCTGTAGCTATGGAGGAGTGACATTTAAAATCCATCAGAAAACCAATAAAGTCATTTTGTAGACTTTTGCAGAATTTGGTATTATCTTTCATGTACTGTTGGAATAGCTGTGATTACTTTCTTAGGCCGGCATCGTGTCAGCCTGGTAACAGGCATTTGGACACTTGCTCAAATGCAACAGAACACGGCTGAAGACTTGGAAGACTTGCATTGGCTTCATGTATGCCATACATTTGTCTAATTCAGTGCATTATTAATCCAAATATTCTCCTTACATATAAGAGAAAAGTACATGGTAGATAGAGCAAAGAATGGTGACCAGATTGGTGAAAATGTACCCGGAACACCACATTTCAATGTCTCTTTTGAACACTTAAAACATTTAATAGTTGATTTTCTGTTTCTAAAATTGATCAGATTTGTCTCTAGTTACTCACAAGTAGGGGGCCAACAAAGCTAATGTATGTGGTGAGCACAATGTCATTTGGTTTCCAGAGATAAAATAGAAAAGATAATGGAATAAAATAGAACAAATGGTGGCTTAATGGATTGGATGACAACATGAAGTGGAGACCTACAATCCAGAACAAAATGTATTGAGTCTTAATGTTTAATGAACTATGTTTGGGTCATTTGCGGGTGAGCAAAATAAAGTATCTTTATGGTCAAAACCACAGCTTTCTCAGAGGAGGACAGGTTGCTGTCCAGATATTTTACAGTTTATGTACAGTAGCTAAAGTATATGGTGTTTTTAAGAGTGAGCAGCCTTGTCAAATACCAGTGCTTATTTCCATCACCAAGGCCCAGCATTTAAAAGAGAGTCAGATAATTTTACCGTTGTATTGCACTGTACGAACTATTAGGGTTTTGTTATTCTGGTTCTTGGTTAATACATTTTTTTGGTTGAAACTCAATTTTGAATTGATCACCTTATTATGGATCCAAGCAAGACTTACAAGCCAGTCTCTAAATGCTTCGCTCACGAGGACTTTCTCCCAGCTTTTGTTGCTAAAACTGGGAGCAATTACAGCTTCAAAAAAACTGTATTGTTGAACCAATCCAAAGTCGTTAGGACAGTCACACGGTGGTGACATGTCGTGTGCTTTTGTACCATGTAACGTTCGGGATATCCATTTTCAATGTTTTAAAAAGTTCTCTTCGTGTTACAAAGTAAGTCACTGTATTCTCCTGGTTGTTTCACTATGGCAGGGAACGGGGGGGAGAGCATTGTTTCAGGCAAAGTGTGTTCTTGAAGTAAGGGGCGTACGTTTATTAGCAGTTGTTCTCGCGGTTGTTCAAGTAACTACTTTGCATTTAGAGATGCCCAGACGATGGGTAGATGCTGAGCTCTCCTATCGTCTGGTATGGCGAGACTAATATGATGTAAAACAGAGAACATAAAAGTAAAAGTAGAACATTAATTTGGCAATTGGTGAAATGGGCCTTTAGTCTGCTCTTTGATGCTGCAGTGCTGTGTGAATGAATACAATTTTTCCATTTTAAAAACAAAATTTGCTGTTACACTGAGTCAACAAACTTTGCTTTGAGACAGAATGAGCTAATATAAAAAAACTTACTGTAAGTTAGCTGCTGCTGTCTGGCCATAGCCTGCTTGCACTAAACCACTACAGCTGTTGGATAGTATTAATATTATAATATTGTATTATAAAACGTTGGTGGTGAGTGATGGTGACTGAAATGTAATTTGATTATTCACCATCTGAGTAGAAACGAAAGTATAATTAAGTTTTAGTGGACTTAAATGATATAATCTGTAGTGAAATGTTGCATGAACAATAACTGTGAATATGCATGTGGTTTATGAAAGGCAGCAATTGTGCCTACATGTTTTACTTCAGCTTGTTTACTTCTTCATTTACTCAGAACTCCATAGTGTGTTGTTTGGTTGCTGTTTTCTGTATTTTCTATTCAAAGTATGCTCAGTACTGTAGATACCAATGTCACAGTCATAACATTTTTATAATCAAGGTGTCACCTAGCAATGACGCATTTGCACATTTAAAAGTGCAAAAATAGGATATACTCTCACATAATTATTTATTCTTACACAATACAGTTGCACTCAAGGTGTCTTTGCCATAACAACTGTAGATCCAGGCTGTGCCTCATTGAGGAGTCTGGAGAGCTTTTCTGTTCTTGACTAAACACCTTCTTTGCAGGTATCACTGGTAAAGTCAGTCTAGTATTTTAAGCCAACGGATGTTTGAATAATAGTTATCCAGTCTCAATGTACACTCTATGCCTGAAACATTGAAGAATGTAACGGATGCGTGTGCAGCATATGTATGACATGCTTGTAAGTGGATACAAATGGAAATTTAAGGGATAAAGTGTGGGACAGCACTCTGTGACATCACATGATGCAGGGCAGAGATATTTAACTGGTAAATCAAAGTGAGGGAATGACATGACAAATTGTCATCAGACCTTGCCAGCACCCTCCGTGACTCATGTTTTTTGGGGGCATTTTCTGGGGTTCTCGTATCATTCTTGATTTTCACGTTACAACACTATGAATTGTGTCAGTCCCTTAAGGAGAGCCCTGTGCACTTACAAAAAGTGTGTTTCAAGGGCTCAAAAAGTCCACAGGAGAGCCCTCCTGTGCTCAGCAATTTTTTTAGTGTGGGACTTTACTGAGCTCTCAGAGATGTTTCAAGAACATTCTTCAAAATTTGTAATTTTGGTTGGACTGAGAAGTTGGACAATGGGATTGGATGAAAACTGTAACAGTAACTTGTCCCATTGACTTGCTGTCCAGAAAGCTGCAGATTTATTAAAAACAGACATATTAACATGGGACATCACATGTGACTTTTTAGATTTTTAAGTACTGCCATGTTGTGTTTTTTTTAATTTGTACAATAATCATGAGGCAAGAAATTCTAAAGCCCTAAACAGCATGAAAAATCCAGCCAATATTGCCTCATATTTGAGCAGCTTAGAGGCTTGGCGGTTGTTACTATCCATACATCGTTTCACCATCTGAACAGCCTAGTTTCCCACCAAGCTACAGCATCTTTACATAAAACATTTACTGTACTCTGGGTTAATGGTGTAGCTGCTGCAATGGAGGCGTGGAGATTTTAATTTCTGTGTGAAGATGTTAAGTCAGAGGAAAGGGAGGTTAAAATGACCCAGCTCTCAGCCACGTCACAAGGAAGAGAAAAGCAGGAGAATAGCTTGACCTGACCCATTATCCGTGAGCAAAGTAAAGCTGGAGAAACGCCTGTGCAAATGCCATGGTAACCATCTTGTGTAACCTCCTTTGAACAATATCACATAACAGTCCAGCCATGAGATAAGCCAGGATAAGTGCCATTCTGTCTTGTGAAGTCTGGGAAGAATTTCACACCAAACCCCATTAAAATATCTGGTAATTTAATGTGTCTTTTATTAGCGACAGAAGTGCAGCCCATTAGAACGGCACACGTGACCTTTCCTGAATCGCAAAGTTCCACCCTTCAGTCTCATCAGACATGATCCATTAAGCAGCTGTAACATTTAATTCTCGGATATGTTTTGGGCAGTGATACACAAGCTGGAGCTGCCATTCAAACATGGTTTGTTTTAAGCAGTGGTAGTGTATCATGGAGCTGCACTGATCATAACTCACCTTGCTTATGACACAGCACATGCATTAGGCAGCTGGTGCTCTTTAGAAAGGTGTGGGCAGTGTTGACATGAATTGGAAAGATATGCATTTTGAAATGTATCCTACATGATGAATTAGGGAGGCAACCCATTTATCATTAGTTAAATGTCATAGTTTCTACATTTTCAGATGCGACAGCCAGTTAGTGTTGCACTATAAGGTTAGCTAATGTTAGTTTCACTGGCTTGGGGGATACAGCAAGGAACTTTAACCTGAACAAATATGAGTTATGGTGCTAAAGGAAATGTTAATAACCATGGCCCCCACCTACTCTCTGTCCCTTGTGCAGAAGTGAACTGTCATCCAGTGGAAAAATACACCAGAGTCTGTCCTTCTTGTCTGGTGGTTGGCAGTGCACTCAATGCCTTATGGAAACTCAGTGTAGCTAATATAAATTTTGAGATATAATCAGGGGGAAAATTGAGAGAAGACTGACATGCGTTGACTGTAAACATAA